ACATGATCCAAGCAAGGCCAAAGAGATAACCCGTCCATGGAATCTGCCTCTTAAGCACAGTGACACAAAGTGCTTGGAATTTATTCTCCTCATGTCAGTGCCCTCGGGAAACTGTTCATCACTTTCTACTACTTAGATCTGAGATTCCTTAGCTTTTGTGTTTACAAAAAAAAAAAAAAAGCTTTATCATTTTTCTTTGATTCTGTGATTATCTTATACCTTACAATAAAATACTGTTTTGCTTAAAGTCAGTTTCTGCAGCTTGCAACCAAAGATTCCTAGAGGATATAGCTTTTTAACGCAATCATTTTTTAAATCTTAAAAGTTCCCACCTACTCCTCCTGAGAAGCCATAAATGTGCTATGGAAAGGGGGGGGGCTACCCCATTTGCTTTACTAGTGTCTTGTATATATCTTTAGGGTCTGGGCTGAGACATAGGGGCCCTCCGTCCTGGCCTTCCTGGGCTTTCCTGATGAGAGAAGAACAGTTAATTGACAAGTCAGGATAATTTTTCCTTAGTTCCTACCCACCAGGAAAAGGCCAACTGAAGACCCACAGGGTAAAACTCAGTCAATGAGCACCAAGTTGATGTCACTGCAAAATAATGTCATTTCCAGGCCCACAAACTTCTAGGGAACTAAATATTCTAGGTAAACTTGGAATCCAAACTCATTCTGCTTTTTAGAACCATGGCCCTCAGTAATTAAAATAATAATCATAATTGTTAACAATTAGAAACTGAGCATTAAGCATCGATAAAGCAAAGAATCAAGAATGAATTTTTATCTCGTGTGATAACCATGATCATCCGTAGTAGACACTACTATTACAGATGAAAAGACTGAGGTTTGGAAAGGTTAGCTAGCCCTTGTCTGAGGTTAACAGTTACTAAGAGGCAGAGCCAAGACCAAATGCAAGTCTTTCTAACTTCATACCGTACGGCTGATATCTGCTCCATTTGGGCAAGTGCTGTTTCTGTGCTGGAAATTAAGTTCACTTGGTTAACAAATGCAAAAACCAAGGGGCTTTCCGAATCTTTCAAGCCAGGAACAAAATACCCCAGGGGTCAGACAGCAAAGTGAACTGTCTTGGTTTTATCAATTGCCTTTTCTCTTCTGCTTGCCACTTGAGACTTTGCTGTCCTCTGTGCACTGACAACCCCTATCTTACCTGGAGCAGGAATGTTTTTCAGCTAAAATAAAAGACGATCACTCCCCAAAAGCTAAGAGCACTCAGGAGCTTTGCCCTCCTTGTAACTCCCATAGGGCCCACACAACTTGATGCCAACCTTTGCATGTCATAAGCTCGCCTACCCAGCAGGAAAAAAGGGAGGGAGAGTCAACTTTAAATTAAATTAGACTCTTGGATACCCTCTCGCAGAGTCTTTCAGGTGTAAAGAAAGTCTTAAATCCTAAAAGGATAGAATGGAAAACTTCAATGTGTTATCACATTCACTCAACGAAAATTGACTAGACAGTTTAGCTTATAGTATTGTACCTTGCTTTAATGTGCTCTATATACCAGGAGTAGGTAGTGTGTTGTTAACTGAGGGGAAGCTGGGTAAGGGATACATGGGGCATCTCTGTCTTATCTTTGCAACTCTTCCAAAATTATTTCAACATAAATGGCTTTAGAGAAAACATACTGGTCATGCAGGGTGAGAGAGACCCTACAGCATTCCCCACAAGACTTATGGTTCAAAAGGACACAGAAACATCCATTCCAAAGGGCACCTGCACCCCTATGTTTATAGCAGCACTATTTACAATAGCTAAGCTTTGGAAGCAACCCAAATGCCCAAAAATAGATGACTGGATCAAGAAGATGTGGTACATATACACCATGGAGTATTACTCAGCATTCAAAAAAGATAAACACATGCAATTTGCAGCAACATGGATGGAGCTAGAAGGGATCATGCTCAGCGAAATAAGCCAGAAAGAAAAAGAAAAATACCGGATGGTCTCACTCATAGCAGGAATCTAGAAAACCTAAATAAGAGACCAGGAAAAAGACTAATCAATACAAAGTAAAATCAAAATCAACAAGCAACTATAAACCAGAGACACAGTACAGGGGGGTGGCAGGGGGAGGGAGTGACAGGGAAAGGAAGGACTAGAGTCAAAATAAGGGGGGAGCTGCAATTGTATGGGGAATAGAACCAAAATGAAAATGCATACATTGTGCAAAGATGAAAAAAGATGTAAGAATTATATAAAATCAAATATTTAAATAATAAAAAAAAGACTTATGGTTCAGAACAGCATTGCTGGTGGAATGCAGGTGAGGGGAGAAGCTTGCGTCACATCCCTCAGTGAAGCAGCATTGGAAGCAACAGCACAGTCTCTAGTCCAAAGTCACAAGGACAACATATCTCAGGAACCAAAGCTTCGTAATGAGAACTGAACCAAAAAAAAAAAAAAAAAAAAGCATAAGGTCAGGGTACCTTATGTCACGGTCACAAATACACACTTTAATACAAAACATTATGGCAAATGGTGTGTGTGTGTGTGTGTGTGTGTGTGTGTGTCAGAGATCAAGAGACAGAGAAGGAAGAAGAGAGCGTATGATAAGATAAAGCCAAAGCAGACGGGAAAAACCATCTATATCACTCACCTGGGATCAGGGGAAGAATTCACACATTTGCATGGATAACATGAGGGCAAACATACATGGAGTAAGGACACTCGGTCCTGCAACTTCTTTTTAACTTTTCCAGAAAAAAAGTTTCAGCAATAATGTTTGTACATTACTGTATTTAAATCCTACCATGATAATCTCGTCCCTCTCACCCCACACAGCTTGGTAAAACCACATTCCATTTTATCCCAGTTTGCCTTCCATTCATCTCTTAGTAGAGTCATTCAGCCAGACACCCAAAGGCCTTCCCACTAATGAAACCAGCATTTGCTTAGAAAAATCCATTTATAAGTTTCCTTAATAGCCATCAAAGATGAAAAAGAGTTACGAAAATGTAAAACACAGCGCCTGTCCTCAAAGTCTTAGAAGAGCCAGTTGGAGAATGAGAGCCAACAAAGGGTTAACACAGCTGATTTCTAGGTTAAGAGAAGGATGCCACGTAATTTTTTAAGGCAAACACCTGGAGGGAAAAAGTAGTATTTTGTTTCCACCTCAAGAAATTGCAGACAAACATAAAGCAAATCACATCAGTGGAATACTCAATTACCTGCACATGCTAATTAACTAAATGTAATCAACCTGCTTTCAGTCCTCTCTTCACCTGCTATAATATTTGTAGTGCGTCGCCTTCCTTCTTCCTCACAACCAGGAGAACATTAGACAGTCTGCATGGTGCATCAAAGGGAAACAAATAAGCACAGATTTTTGCTGATGGCAGGAATTTCTCATGCTCAGGGCACATGAACCAACAACATGGAAATGGCAGCACTGGCTGTGTATTTTAATTATTCCCCACACCTATTTTGCAAAAGGGACTTAGAGTTCAATTAGGTAATATGATGCTCAGTTATAGTTATTTCATAAAACTGAGCACAGACAGTCATTTAAAGTAGTAAATATGCAGTCATGACAGAATTAAATATTCATGAAATCAAGAGCGGCTGGAAAGCTGAGGGTATTAGAATATTAAAATTCATCATAGTTTTCACAATGTAAATCTTGTATGCATTTGTAAGGCACCCCGGCCCAGTCTACAGTGTGTTCAAATCCCAGCTCTTTGGTAGATAGCCATTTAAATTACAATATTGATTTTGGTAGATAAACAACAATCTCAATTCTTAGCTCAGTTTCAGAATGCAAAACAATCTTGAACATTTGCAAAACCAACTTGTTAAGTAAGTCTGTCTCCAACATGTCAGTGTGATCCCAATATGTTTCAGGTAGCTGTTTAATCCACTCACACCTTCAGAAAGGTCTAACAGAAACCAAGGCGATCTCCAAGGAGGCGCCCCTGGTGACACCCAATTCTTCTCTAACAGAACGAAGTGCCTATTTTCCTATACACTTCCTTAAATGATCACCAGTGACTGACCTTTCTTTGGTTCCAATAGTCTGATTTGTTGAACCAACTTTTCCGCAACATTAGCAGCCAGTTTCAAAATGTAGTAACAGACACACATGTGTACACTTTATACCGAGACCACTAAACAACACTAGCTTCCACGAAACTGAACTCCAAGTGTGCATGGAGAAAGAAGACTGTATTCTGAACAGGAAAAAAAAAAAAAAGCTGTAACGAATACACTCTAATAACATTACCAAGGCATTATTTTCTATGCCATTTCCTCTATTTTACAATTTTCTCGGCGGAAGACACATCAGCAGCAGAAAATGGCATTTGAACCATTTCTTGCTGGAATCCAATTACCTGAAGAACTCCTCTCCCCACATAAGAAGTGGCTATCCCCTGGTCTACAATGACACAGCAGGGCTGCAAAAGATTTACAGGGCTCATCTGCTGCCAGGCACTTGGTCCCTGCCCTTCTGGGTAGCAGGGTGCCCGGTGAACCCCAGGAGCTTAGAGCTGGGGTAAGCAGTGCTCTCCATCATGCAAATGAGGCAAAGTTTGCTGCCATTGTTGCCATCCCTAGGTTACCATCACCTCCAAGGAGTCTCGGAAGCCACTTGGCTGGTCCTGAAGACATATGCTTCCCCTTGACCTAGATCATCCGAATCAGCCTTGGTTATGTGCAGGCGAGCAGAGGTCTATTCCCGCTGCTCTCCTGAGGTGCTGCGCTCTACCCTGGGCATGACAGGTACCAGAAGACTTTTCTCTGCACACGCTGCTGAATACAGAAACCCGGACAGACTTGTGCACACGCCTTCCAGTTCAGAAAGTCACTGTCACCCACCGATTGCCTTCCACCTCACGCCTCCCCCACATCTGCAACACCCACTACCACACGAACAAACGAGGGAAGGGAGTTGGGGGGGAGCGCGGGGTTAAAGTGACAGCCGCTACCAGAGCGCAAGGTGGGTTTCTTTCAAAAGGTGTCACAGCGCCGACACTGTGGACCTACCTTGCTCTCTCCTTTCTCGCTGCTGGGTCTCGCCTCGGGATCGTCGCTGTCCTCGGCGCCTGCACTCTCGCCGGGCAGTTCATCCTGAGCCAGCTGCGGCGGCTGCTGCTGCGGCTGGGGCTGGGGCTGGGGCTGGGGCGGCTGTGGCTGCGCCTGGCAGGCTCCGCCGGCCCCCTGGGAGCGGGGGATGGGCTCCGGGCGCGGAGAAACTCCCTCAACATCCATCTCCATCTTCCCATTCACTGGAGGGCAAGACAAAAGCGGAGCGGAGACTTGGCAGCGGCGCTCGGCGGCTCCTCAGCTGCCCGTGGCACGCATGGCTCGCCGAGGAGGGGCCGCCTCCCGCGCGCCCTCCCTCCTGCCACCCTTCGCCCGCGCTCCCCGTGGCTCCGCTCGCTGGCTCGGCTCCGGCGCGGGCGGCGTCTGGGCCGGGGAGCGCAGGGAGCGGGTGGCCGCGTGTCCTTGGAGCGGTGGCCTTCAGGCGCCCCCGGCAGTCCCGCTAAGCAGAGCGCATCCCGGCAGCAGCAGCAGCAGCAGCAGCAGCGATGCCTCCCAGCAGCGCGCCCAGCCCCGGGGCCGCTCGAGACTTGCTCTCCGCCCAGCCTCCGGAGCCTCGGCGCTGCTCTCCAGCCTCTCCAGGGGCCCTGGCGTCGCCCCTCCCAGCCAACCTTCCGAACAAAGTTATTGCAAGAACCAACCTGAACGCCGGGATTTGCCGGGCGGAACTGGCAGGAAGAGGGGCGGTCAGGTGCAAGGGACAGCGACCACCCCCGCCCAATGCCCAAGCGCCAACCCCTCACCTTTGCCCTCGCGCGCACGCCGAGGAGCAAGTCTAGGAGGGTTTTCCGACCTGGGCAAGGGGGTGGCAGCGAGGGCTGGAAGGAGAGGGGCAATGCGGAGGGCCAGTGGCCGGTGCGCCCACCCCCAAACCCAGGCGACCCCCACCCCCAGCTGGCCCCGGCGCCCCTTCTGCCCGCCCTCCTGCCGCGGAGCGCGTCCCCGGGGGCAGCCCCTCCGGGGCGCGCGTGTGTGCAGCCCAGAGCTGCCGCTCCTCTCCTCGGTCGGCACCGCGCCGCGCAGCGCTGGAGAACTGGAGTAAAGAGAAGGCAGCGGCAAATTCCAGGCAGGAAATCCACCTACCCTCGCCTCCCGCCCGATCGCGGGCTGGAACCGGGAAGGGGTGGGGCCCCGCGTGGATGGCGAGGACGCGAGTCCTGCAGCGCGCCCGAGTTTGGCGTAAAGGTCGGCGGTGGAGGGTCGATGCGGGAGGCGGAGGGAGAAGCGCGAAGTCGCCGCCAGGCATTTACTGCAATGTGCCCCGGGGTGGGCGCCAGCTGGGCGCCGCCGATCCCGGGTGGGGAGCTCTCGGGAGCTGGAAGGGCGTCCTCGGCAGGGCAGGTGTCCAGGAGGTTCCGGTGGTGACCCCGAGCCAGGCGGTGAGCTGCGTCTGTAAATATAGAATAGACAGACTGAAATGACAAGGGTAGACTTGGAAATTCTTAAATCGGGGCTCACCGACAGTCAGGTGATCAGGGTGACTTCTATATTTAACACGACTTGGTCCTGGGGAGTAGCTTACAACTTCACGGGAACTGCTGGCTGCAACTCTGCATGGCAGGAGGGACCTTCGAGCAGCTATGGAGAGAAATCGAGGTTATTAAGAACCTGTTTAATATTAAATAGAGCCCATTGTTCTGGGCTTTGAGTTCCATAATGCCCCCAAATGGATCCGCAGATAAATGAACTATTCATGCATTTCTTAGCAGAGGGTGTTTTTCCCTAACATGTAATGTATCACAGATAATGATTGCCTAATGAAACTAGAAAATTGCATTGTTCTTCTCTTGCCTGCTTTGCATTAACTTAAAGACAACTTTTACATATCAACACACACACTGTCCCAATAGATGCTGTTATACAAGTACACACCTTCAGGTCTTATCCTTCCATGCAGTCTCCAACTCTGTCTGTATGTGTGACAGAAATTAATTGCCACTTTAATTTAATCAGTGTAGACAGTCAATCTGTATAAGGCAATGTGAACACACTTTGGGAAAGAAAAGAAAAAGTTTGGGGACAGAAGTACTCATTCTCCTTTTCTTAAAATTTCAAAAGAAATAAAACCAAAACCCTACATTTCAAGCTCATTTTCTAAATTGGGAACTTGTTAAAAATATAATGTGTTGGCTTCAGTCTGAGATTCACTTTGCTTTTAAAATGGCACTATGACCCTTAAGCAGTAATGTGCCAGTCAAAAAAATATAGCTATGCCGCTTTCCAGAAGTTACTTAGGCTTCTTACCCTCCCCATGACATTGTACTAAATCAATTCTTACAGTATCTTTATAATAGTAGATGACATTGTTTGTGTAAAGGGCTTAGCAGCAGGTTTTAGTGCATTGTGAATACTCACAATTATTTCCTGTTACACAGAAAATAGTAAGTTGATAATATTTCACCTTCAACACTACCCAGAGGATCTTGATTTAGGAAGAAATTGCCTGTTTAATTAATCTTTTTATATAAAATGCTCTAAAAATATATTTGGTATCTTTAGAGAGTGAAGCCCTTTCTGAAGGCAGAAAGAAAGTCAATGGTGTTTTGTGCAATAAAGGTTTGAATTTGACAGATTTTCCTTATACATTGTAGAAATTAAAACTACATGTCAGTTCTGACAGGAGCTAGAAGAGCTGACTGGTAAGTTTATTAATCTTCCATGCTTGTTATTTACTTCCAAAATATGTTTGTGCACTTCTTTTAAGGCTTACATGAAGATTATATTAAAATAAAGAAACAATACTCAATTTGTTCTGTATGTACATGTGTGCTTATAAAGGTTCTTATTGTTAAGTGCAAATATTTTTCCTTTCTCTGTCCTTCAATTTTTTGGGGACACAGATTTTTTTTGCATCTGTCATAAGTAAACATGGGCTCAGAAAATATACTACATTTCAAAACTGTTGATTGCACCTAATTATGCATGTAAATTGCTACTTCAAGCATGCAGACAGCTTACAACATTTTGAAAATTTTGCCCTACCAGTCATCTGAGGTATTTGTGTTACTATATTGCTTTTGCCTCAAATGACTTCATTTCCCTATTAGCTTTCCATTAATGATGGGTCTCTGAATAATTTTCATCTTTTAATATCTCCTTTAGATGCTTCAAATTAGCATCAGCAGTTTCAACAACATCATCCTTCTTGTTTATAACAGGGCATTTGGTTTTGAGTCATTTAGATAAGAGTGTACGAAAAAAGTGTCCTGATAGTAATCAACTCCCTTACTACTCAGGGTGTGGTCATGGACCCGTAATTTCTCAATGCCTGTATTAGAAATAGTCCCTGGTCACCCCAGACTTACTACAGGGAAGTCTGCATTTTAACAAGATCTCCAAGTGATTCCTGCAACATTCACATTGGAGACGCTCAGAGATACGTCTTCACCTGGTTTTTAGACATTACAATAATCTTTGGCACTGTTCCTTTAAAATACTCAAAAAGACATTAGAAACTTTTTGGGGGTCAAGATTATAGTTCAGCCGGTCCCCCTCCCAGTATCTTAGTGTTGCATAATGAAAAGTTTCATAAATTAAGAATTTATCAGGCCTCCCCAGTGGCACAGCGGGTTGAGCACAGCACTGTGAAGCTGTCCGCAGCCTCTGTAGCTCGAGTTCGATTCCCGGCCGGCCAGGGAGCTACCCACATGGCGCCGCAGACATCTCCTGTCTCGCCCGCTGCTCCCCTCAGCAGTGTCTTCAGTCTGTCTGCCTGTTCTGTTTCCCACTCTGTCTCTGGCGAATCCTCTCACCCTCCCATATCTCTGGCCTGTACCCCAGCTCTTGAATAAAAAAATAAATAAATCTTAAAAAAAAAATAAGAATTTACCAATGTGTCTACCTTTGGTAATGAATTATAAGCACACAATTTTATAAAATCAAGACATTAACCCAAAAAGGGACTAGCATTTTAATTGAATACTACATTTTTTGCAAACATGGGAAAATAGTTCCTAAAAGTCTTGCTTATTCTTATCCTTCTACTTGAGATTTGATGGTGCAGTTTCTCCTCTGCTGGAATTACTGATACCTTCTGTTACAATGCAAGCAGAAACAGCCAAGTTTGTGTCTGTGTGATGACAGTCTAATACAAGTTTTGATAATTTGGCATAAGAAGGAACTAAATTATATGCACCTATATTTTTAGGAACTAACAGAACTTCTTACCTTAAAGAATTTCTTTAAAGCAGTGGATTTATAAATCATCACTTTAAAAGGCTATCTAGGACAGTAGCTCTCACCTTTAACAAACACAAAATCACCTGGGGAAGGTGGTTAAATGCAGATTATGACTCAGCAGGATAGGGTTTGGGCCTGAGAATCTGCGTGTCTAACCAACTTCCAGGTGAAGCCAGCAAGCACTTTTGGTCCTCAAACCTGACAGCCTTGCTTTCTCACTGTTAATGGTTGTCCAATTTTAACCACTTGGGGAGCTTTTTAATATCTTTAATGCCCACACTACACCCCAGACAAATTAAATCCAAATCTCTGTGGGTGAGATGTAGGCATCAGTAGTTTTTAAACCTTCCCACATAATTACAATGTGCAGCCAAGACTGGGAATCAGTGGTGGAAATCCGTGATTCTCCAACTGTGGCCCCCAATCCAGCAGCAGCACTTGGGAGTCAATTATGAATGCTGACTCTCAGGCCTCACCACAGACTGACTGCATATCTGCATGTTCATGTCCCAGGGAATGTGTGTGCACATTTAAAGTTTGAGAAGCTCCAGCTTATTGGGTGGCACCCACCAGCAGGCCCCTGACTGTAATGCCTTCATCTCTTGGCTCTTTACAAATCTGTGCCATTCTGAGAAGCTTGCAGAAACCTTATGCATAGAGTTTCAATTGATAAGAGGAATCTGACAGGCATCCCTAGTTCTGTTCTAATGCCTCTGCGCTTCACAGCCCTGTCCCACAGATCTTTCTGCAATGATAAAATGTTCTCTATCTGTGTTCTTCAGTAAGTAGGCCCCAGCCACATGTGGCTATTAAGGCTGTTAAGCTCATGAATTACGGCTAATGTGACTGCAAAACTTTTAATTTTATTTCATTTTAATTGATTTAAATTTAAATAGCCTCATGTGGTCACTGGCTCCTGTATTGGACAGATCAGCTCCAGGGTAATCATCCTTCCTGTTGCTGGAACCTTATTCAAATTCCCAGGTTGAACACAGGCCCCTCCTGCTCAGCTTTTGTATGTATTAATCCCCAGTGAATGCACCAGGATGAAAAACATCTGCCTTGCCACCTCATTTACATAATAAGTAACATTATGCTTATTATTTTGAATGAGAGGAGTTTAACTAGAATTAAATGCCACCAAAAGTTGTCAAAACCTTTTTCATAGTATTCATAATTACGTAGCTTTAATTTTACAGCCTTTCAAACGTCAGCAGACGTGGGGTGCTTTGGGAACTGCCTTAAGAAAAAGAGACAAAAGACTGCAAATTGATTCAGGGTAGAAGACACATAAAGACACCCTTCCCCCAGCATCTTGTTGGTGCATAATGGAAAGTTGCATAAATTAAGAGTATATCTCTGTGGAAAATAAGTATGAAAACTTGAAGATTGCTCTCCAAATGGAAGATGAGTCAGAAAACAAAGGAGGGATCAAGGAGTGAAGAGGCCAGAAAATAGCAAATGAAATTCAAACTAGAAATGCACTCAACAATTAGCCTGAATGCAACTCTCTAATCTGTAGAATCCATGAGATGGGATGTGATGGCATGAAACAAAAATACTCCTGACTTGCAGACAGACACCAGCCCTGTGGAGTCTTCTTTCTCCAGGCAGAGAATAACAACAACAACCACAGACGCAAGGGCCTTCCTACCCATAGTGTGCTCTATACTTTGTCTCCTGGGGTCCTCTCAACTACCTGTGAGGTGGGATAGTCAAGAAAGAGATGATTTTGGGGCCTCCCTAGTGGCGCAAAGGGTTAAGCACAGCACTATGAAAGCTATCCGCAGCCACTGCAGCATGAGTTTAATCCCAGGCCCGGGAGGTGACACACATGGCGCAGCAGACCTCTCCTGACTCTCCCGTTGCTCCCCTCAGCAGTGTATTTTAGTAGATCCACCTGTTCTGCTCCCCATTCTGTCTCTGGTGAATCCTCTCACCCCCTCCACCTCTGGCTTGTACTCCAGTTCTTGTATGCATAAATAAATCAATCTTTAAAAAAAAATAA